CGAAGGTTTTCAGCAGTCTCGTTGTCGTTTCCGATATACCTTTTATGTGTGGTAAGGTGATCCTTTTGTTGATTTCTGTACTTGTCTTTGTTTCTGATGACGAGTGCGGCGGGTACTTTTTGATGAAGTTGATTGGGTAGCCATTTTTTCGAAGGATGGTTTGCAAGTATTCTTCTTCATTTTTTTCGTGCTGTAATTGTGTTGCAGTGTGTCCTCACCCTCTTGAGCAATGTTTGTACGCAGGTGATTTTGTGGGCTCTTGAGTTGTTGCTATCATAGCTGATGATGCTTAATTAATGTATTATTTCAATGTTTGGTTTCAAAGTGGTAAATTTCTATTATCTTAAAACTGAACTCACGATAAATAAAAAAACTATCCAAAACAGAAATGAGTGTGTGTTAGATGTACAAATATCTCAACTTACAAATAATATGAGTAAACTAGGAATATATTAGCGCATTACAGCTTCAATTAAGCTAAATACTCAACTCAACAACATTTCCAAAGATTATAATCAGTAATTAGCTCAGCAGATGCGAAATTGCAATTAAAAAAACTTATATAATTGATTGATTATGAAAACTAGTTACTTAAGCGTAAAAAAGGCAAATTAAGTTTGAAATCAAACAATTGAACATAAATGTTAAATGTTATTTGTAAAATTACTAATAAGTAATTGATAGAAATGGGTGCTGAGAGAATGAGATAATTAAATCAAAATTAAAATTGTTGCTTTGATAATTTAGACCCTGAGTATTTTGACTGATGGATCTTTAAACTATATATATATATATATATATATATATATATGTGCCAGGTCAGTGGTCTAGATATCAAGCATTTGTGCGCGAGACCAAAGGTCTTGCGTTCGAGTATCGCGTGAGGATTATGGATGTGCACTGCTGAGAAGTCCTAAGCTGCCACGAAACAACTGTCCAGTGCTTCTAGGTTTTCAATGGTTGTCTAGCCTAGATCGACTCATGAATTTAACTATAATTTAAATAATTCTATGAGGACACATCATTTATGAAAAAACATGACGTAATCGAAACATTACAATACTATATTATGTAGTGTAAATAATAATAATAAAAGATTATGTGTTTACGAATAAAAAGCCATGTAAAACTAATAAGTTAGTAACGGATTTTTATGCAGATATAGTAACAGTTAAAATGTTTTTGTTACAATATTTAAAAATAAGTTTCAAATGGAAATTATTTGTTTATTGAAATAGTACCATTAACTGCAACTCAATAGTGATGGACGAAAAGGAAACGAAATAGAGAACTGAATTAAACTAAACATCTACAGCGTGATCAATCAAGCGGACCATTTTACTAAAAGCACTTTTTTAGATATCCGACTACTAAAGTTGGCCAGTCATTAGAAAAGAAACTTCATGGTTATGTTATGTGGTTATGATTATGTTAACAAAATCTTATCAATCATATTTATGTGACGGCAACTAAAAGCTTAGGGGCATTGACTAGGGATTGAGGCATTGTTCAGACCTAAACTAACATGTAAGCTTTCATAGAGTAATTTGGTTTGTGAAGCCACCATATTATCCAGAATAACTCAACGGAGTGTTTGAATCGAAAAAAAAATTTACCGGCGTGTTGAAGAATGTTGATGTCTTCACCTACTTTCTTTTTTTATCTAACCAGTTGTTTTAAGATATAAAAAAGCCTACCATATACATCCTGGTTAAACCAGTGAATTTTTTGTATTGTAAAAAATCTCAGGTAAGGTAGACCAACTTACTGTCTTACGCTAATCATACAGTGCTTTTTGTTAAATATGAAAACCGTATATTGAATACGTTATTTGTACATTTTTCTTGAGTTATCCTTAACATACATCATCATTCTTTCAATTCTGTTTGTTATTCTGAATGCTCTCTTATTTCCCTTCTGTTCCCTTTCTTTATATCTTTGGTATGCATTTCACTTCCGTTTCCCGCTACACACTACTTATATTTGTCATCATAAGTAGTTTATACCATATTATTATGACAATACAATGATTACAAAAAATGTTTTTATCCATTTATTCATGATACATCCTGTTTAAATGTTATTTACAATTAACAGAATTTCTAGAGTCTTTGTTTTGAAGCTGGAGTAACTTTTAGTTTACTACGCGGAGAATCGGTTTGAGGTCTGAACTATGACCACTCACCATGTTACCCTCTAAATACTTCTGTATCGTTCTGGTAAGTGGAAACAATAACTTACCGTTATGTTAAGTAATTCAGTAGTTGACATATCTTGTTGATGCAACGCTTATGATAAACATGTGTGAAGAACATATATTCTCTGAAGAAGCGTCTTACACTGAGTCACAAAACGTTAGAAAATCTCATTTTTATACTCATTGGGATATTACGAATATAATTAATTTATTCATGCAAGATTTTTTATTATTTAAAGGAATCTTAGTTACCGAAGTGGATTTATTTTCAGACGACGATCGTTATGCTTGAGACAAGTGTGTACAAATAACTACCATCATAATGATTACTCATCGTTTAACGTACTCTTCATCCTGTACACCACTAACATTTTGGTTGTGGGTTGAATTCTTGATTTCAAATTGTTTTCAATAATAATTTAATGCACAAAATAGGGTCGTTGTGAATAGACTTGAGCCTAAACCATTAACTTGCCATACTTACAAAATTATATTTAGTGAATTAAATAACAAAAAATGTCACATTAGAGTTATGATACATACTTCAGACAGTATAGTAACTGGTAATTGTTATCGGGCAATCTGTTAACCGAATACTGTACATATATTTTCATAAAGTAATTTTTGAAAATTTCTTAAGTTATAGTTTTTTCTCTACTGATGTTATCTTAAAATATTAATAATTGCAGCGTAAAAGAGTAAACAATATAGATCAGAAATTTATTTCCACAAATATACTTTTAAAGACAAATACCAAATTGCGATATGTCAACAAACATGTTTATGTGTTTGTGTAGGTGGAGTAAATTGCTGCCATGTGAGTTGTTACTATTCATTCATTAGAAAAAGTGATATGCAGAATTTTTAAATGGTCGGTTTAGGACTAACATAATTGTAATGAAAGCTTGAAAATGATAAAAGTACAAAATGAACACCAGTTACTAAAAAAAATTCTAGAATCTATTGGATGCTTGATATTTTTTTATTATTGCAACGTTATTTTATCCGTCAACAAACGAAATATCACTTGCATTATAATCAGAGAGGGAGGGTGATTAGCAGTGGAACTGAGAACGCGCGTTTTGTCCTATTTTGGACTTGTCAGCTGGATCTATTCTCATCTCAGAACTGATGTCTACTCCAGGACTGGAAACCAGTACAGTTTACTTCAAACGCCATCGCGTTATACACTTAGCCACTCAGTCAAGATAACCACTAGTTTTTGCAATGTAGTAAAATTTTAGCTCACTTGAAAAATCTTTTGTCGATAAAAATAAACGGATATTGTCAGTTACGCTCTCGGTATCATTAGTGATCAACCCTAAAGGATTCAAACAAGGTCGGTAGCAGTCGAAATAAATAATCAATAACGTTTAAATGACAAATAAAACTATTATAGAAATTGCTGGTTTTTCCTCGCCTAATTTAAATGCCAATAATTAGTAACCTACGTTTTTTAACTTGCTGGTTAAAAAACGTCTTTAGTTAAATTTATGTTAGCTGCAAATTGTTTCTCTTTTATTATGTTAGAACTAATAAACAGTAGCTAAGACGTTTTCGCTAGTTTTTCATTTCTAGCAGTTTTGAAATTTCAATTTAACATCTCAATGTAAAGCAGGATCAAAACAGTTTTTAGTTAAATTAAAAATAAGTTCATTAATATTTTTTTCATTTGTGATCATGGAGGTATATCGTTGCAGAAAATTCACTTCATGTAGGTGGTACTAATAACCAGTTCTGAAGATTCTATATGAACTGTTTTAAAACACTACTTCTGGTACGAAGACTACGCTGAAGTACTGTCTATAATTATCCAACTCGACCAACTCGATAATACGGGCTATAATACTTTAGTTACCGTAATCGAATTAATTTCTAGATATCTCGATTAAACGCTTGATCATTTGTTTCACATCACTTGGTGAAGATCTAAATTATAAAAAAATGGATACACGTCTTTATTACTGCATACTTCATTCAGTCTCTATACACCATTTTATATTTAGAAAACGTCTTACTGTATATCAGTGTGGGGTTGTGGATATTGTTAGGTTGTTAATTAAGATCATGAATCGATGAATGCTAGATCACCATTGAAATCCTGGAAGAACTGGATAGTCGTATCATCCTAGTATAGATTATACTGCATAGTTAGAGAAACAAATCATGTTGTGCTCTTAATTTATTTGATGAAACTGACACTATTTTATTTACTGTAAAACAAATGGAGTATTAGTATTTAAAGTATTTATTTAAACTACGGTTAAATGAAATGTGAGCATACACGGACTTTTTAATCATAATTTTATTGAGCAGCTCATATAATGAACACTCCGTTTTGAGTTAATAACTATTTAACACTAATATAAAAAACTTTGATTTAGATTATATTCCGTTTTATGGTTTCTAAACATTTTAAAACGCTTTATCATCCCATTCATTGTGTCATTTGTTCAGGAAAAGTGTTTTACAGAATCCTTACTTGAGAATATTAGTGCCTTAAGGTAAGACATCTCGAATATCCTGCGATTTCTTGTTACTTAAATAACTGAGGTTTAAATGTAGTACAGAATAAAGTAGTTCAGTGTGCTGAATAATCATTTTTTTAATGTTTGAGAAAGTGATACTATCTTTATGTTATAAAACTGTTGCAAAGATCAGACCTCACATATATGGATCATGAATAGTTGAGCTCATAGGTAAACAATAGTTTAAAAGAATAGTAATACGTAAACTATGTTTTTAATAAACGTTTAAGATACATTATAAAAAAGTAGTAATTTTTAGTTTACGATAAACTTACAATGCACAAATACATACTGGTTATCCATAGAATGTAGTATAATATCCAAATCTGGTTCCACATATCTTCAACTATATATATATCCAGGTGGATAACAAATATCAATTGGATACTTGCATCCTATTAAGCATGTAATCAGTTATTTTGAACGAAAATAATGCACATTTCATCAAAATTATCCTAAGACTATGTGTAAACTTGTATGAAAATTTAATAAAACATGCAACATTTCAATATGAAGATTTAAACAGTTTACATAGCTAATTAAACAACGTTTGTAATATAATGTATTCCAATCATTTGGTCTTGTTTGATTTCATTCTGACTGACCAGTTATTCGTTTTGTTATGTAAAAAAAATCCACCAAGACTCTTATTAAACATTAAGGATCTGTATATAAAAATGTCATCTTAGATCACAAGGTGTTTTGAAATATTACAAATGAAATGAAGTTCAATTATTCTCAGTTTTTACAATAATAATAAACACTGAAATACAAGATTCAAACTTTTTAATGAATTGACAAAACATGTAGATTATGGAATCCACTGAATGATAAAGATATATCTCTCTTTATTAAGTAATTCTTAACAAATTCAATACATCTTAGACTAAACTATTTTATGATTTCAATTAATTGAATAAAAAGAATAAGTTTAGTTTTAAAGTAATGACTTCATGGAATTGTGATTGGTTATTCTTTCTTGAACCTGATTGGTCAATTATATTGGACTTTGATTGGTCACTAAGTATTGGATACATTAGATTCATTAAAACTATTGATGAAATGTGCGTATTTACACGAATTGAGTCATTAGTACTCATAAACATTGTTTTAATTCAAAAGCAATCTTTATTATAGAACAAACACTTATGAGGGGCATTTTTATAACACATTAGTAACAATGGACGAATTATTCTGGTTTGTATATAATCAAAATGCTCAGCCAAAGTTGAAAAACAAAATTTCAGAATTGTTCTATCTCAAAACAAAGTATATTCGATTTAAACATGTTAGAATTAAGTTGTCATGAAATTTGTAAAGCTAACAAGTTTACAGTGTATTGAATCAAAAGACATTGTCAAAAGTCAGATTCTCAATTTAGTAGGTACAACTAAGCATAAAACAATATATAAATTAATCCCCTTAAAAACTGTACAAATGGTATTATTTTAAATTGATGAGGAAGAGGACATTAAAACAGTAATAAGTGCAATGTCTAAAGAGATAAAGATTTTTGATCACTATATGAAGCTTTTGGAGATACTTAAGTTATTACAAGCATTCTGGACGAGAAATTCTCAAATAATCATTGAAAACCAAAAAACACTGGAACGGAGCTTCGTTTTAGTAGGAAACTCCTCAAAAATAAATGTCTACGACATCAACATAAAGAATCAAGCTCGAGACTATCGGTTCGTGAGCGAAATCCTAACCTTATGATTCTTGTACTGATATCCAGTGTTTAAATGCCTAAACTTAGTTAACTCGTAATATCACTAAACCAGTGAATACTGGTTCAGTGGTTAGGGGTTGAGATTTTGTGTGTAAAACCGAAAGTTTCGAGCTCGGTTTTCTGTGCTGGGATTGTTGATGAGTAGTTTTGAGAAATCTTTTGCCAGAACGAAACAGCTTTTCAATGCTTCCTCGTTTTCAATGGTTGTTTAAGGAATTTAAGTCCGAGTTGTCAACTAAAAAATCTTTTAGTTAACCCTTAAATAACTAAATAGCCATATCCATAAATCTATTCCATTTACAACTTCACGAAAATTTCCAGAATTTGCTTTACACTTCATTAGTTACAAACTAATGCACCTAGTGACTTTTACAGGTTTTTGTAGTGAAAGCAACTCTAACCACAATCATGGGTATTATATGTCATAAATTTGTTTGGTTCAAAAAAGATTAATTCAATTAGGATAGATTGTTTACAGTTCTTGCATGGTCATCAGCCACCTGGTTTTAAATACGTTAACTGGAACGACTATTGAGATGCAAGTAAACATAGAAGCGTTTCATTATTATGAATTTAACTAGTTTATTCATTGAAAATACGAATCATTGATAAACAATAGATCTTCTAGTCGGGTTGTCTGAACTCATTTATCTAAAACTATGTTTATCCTATCAATTTGTTAACAGTTGTTCATTTTAAATGATGAAAAACTAACGTGGTAATAATAACTACTGAGAGTACAATTATATCATTTGATCAATTAGTTAAAAGTGTTTAAAACTGCATATCCACTTCCTAAAAATAGAAGTTTACATTTTGCTTATAACCGAACCGATAAAGATTTACGTGTTATTAAATGAGTACAATAAAATTACAACACTATTTAGTTCTAACTTCAATGGTAGATAAAGAGATAAGAGTGTTTCTAAATCGAAATAGAGTTCCTTTGTGTTATGTTAGTTTATAAACGAAAATTGCTGTCAACTTATGTTTTGTTCACTGTAAAAATAATCTCATTCTCCATGAATCGTCTTATAACAAAATAATGTTCCACATGAATTGCATTGATGTCATTCGATTGGTTGGAATGATAAGATTCGTGTGACCGATTAATGACCTCTAACAAAACATAAATAAGTAATGTTTCAAGTGGATGGATATTAGATCACGGAATATTTTTTAATTGAATGGGAATTGTTTTACATAGCAGATTCACACAGTTATATGAAGGATATTTGATGCAAAATAAACATGGATAAAACTCACTTTAAAAAACACATGATTATAAGTAGTTGGCGTTTTACACTTAATGATCAATCAATCGCTAATGTCTCAGTCCCACAGGAGGTCAGTTGTGGTTGGAATTGCTCAGCGTCGACATATCTCTTAAAGTTGGGTGGAGAGGACTTGATTTCTATGAGGAATATCAGTTCACTTAAAATTATCGGTATATTTCGATCAGCACTAAAAGACTAGATAAATAGAAAACTGGTTACTACTCAGTGATCAGTCATTTGTAAAACAATTTTTATGTCCTAAGTTACTCACTATCCTAAAACATTATGGCCTGATTTTTAAGCTTAATTAATATTGATTAAATCGAAAACTTGTTGACGATTTAATATTTACTTCTTTATGAAAGCCATATACATGATTAAAAAATTCCTTACCTCCACAGAAGTGATTACTTTTTTAAAAATTCTTTCTAACTAAGCCTCTACACACTTGTCTACCAATGTGTTATAGAAGCTGATAGACAGTTAAATGTCTGAAATCGCGAAATCTTATGAAGAGTATTGAGTATGTGTGTGTGTATGAATTTCGAAATCTGAGAAAAACATATGGTATTATTCTGAATATTAAATTTCACATTTTTGGTTCAAAGAGAAATACGACATCAGGACAACAAAGCAAAAAATTATTTCCATGCCAACACTTTCTGTAGAACATGATTACTAATAAGTGAAAGCGAAAGAATTGTTAAGCTAAATAAGTAAGACTTTAATAAACATTCTCCAAGTGTTTTTGATAAGAAGTTAACAAATTGAATTTATCCAGTAATTATTATTATCTCGACTAGTATAAATCGTTTAATTAAATTTTATAAGATTAAACGTTAAATTGTGTATTGAAAATACCTTTCTATATTCTAACAACTAACCTGTAAACAGTACATAGTCTTTTTTTATCTGTCTCCTATGATCAGTCTAAGTGTAGTGAACGAGAACACCAATGAGGACAACCAAATGTATTAGAATACAAAATTACAGAATATCTTAATCAGACATGAGTACCATACAATAAATTCTTTATTTGCAAAATGTAATTCGATAGTCTCAGACTTCATAGATCCTTCTTTACCACACCAATCATTCTCTGTTCTCATTCTCTTTTCTTCGATCTTCTTAACCTCCTGCCTACAGACATTTCACATTCGTTTGATGATACATATTACTTATAACTGTTGACATCAGTAGCACACATCGCAATAGTACTCATTATCCAATATGTTACTATTCATTTTTATTTTGAATAAACAAAACAGAAGTCTATCTAGAAATGTCTTTTCTCAATACTTCTTTTACCTTAAGACAATTTTAGATTTAAGTAGTATTCATCATGTCAAGAGTGTTATATCCCGTGGAAAATTATGAATGGTTAAATCTGAGGACTATTTATGGACCAATGTGGTATGTATATTTCCAATTGTCTAATTGTTAAGTAACTAAACTATTCGTATCTGTGTTCCTCTTATCATAAGTTTCATTTTGACCTATGAACTATTATTATACGATTTACCATTCTTGAGTTATTCCTAGTCCATTAATTACTGTTCCTCACATTCACAGACACATTTGGCCAAATCTTGTACAAATGTTATTTTCTATTCTATGGTACGATGTGGTCTGTTTGTTTGGTATATAAACCCAGTATGTTTAGCAATAATGATTCATATTTCAGAGGGTGTTATTGGTGTTCTGGACTTAACTAGCTAGGCTAGACAGATAGCAGGACTGATAAGTACTCAAGACTACTCATACGGTTTTTTGTGTATCATTGCTCTGATCGATAATTCACTCCACTCTAATTGGCAGTCTCATAACGTCATATATATCAACTGAGCAAGAACGCGTTCATTCAGTAGATATAACAAAGAGGTAGGAATTAGTCGGTAAAACTACACTTTACATTTTAGGGTTTCGTGCTAGTTGACATTCATTAGTAGAGGGTAACTTTAAACTTGATCATCATTTTGAAACTAATGAATTGTAAATACTACTCATATATAAGATTAAAATTATTTCCATTACACATAATAGTAGAATGATTAATCAACTACTCGTTATTACAAATGACTATATAATACTTATATCAAATTTGTATATTCATTCCCATATAAAACTTCATTTCAGTTATAAATATACAACTATATTTATATCCCAAAATCGGATCAATCTAAATTGATCATTCATTGGAAAATAGATTTCAAAAAGAAACTCTAAAGTTATTTTGTTAGATCTAAAATAAAATGACACAATTAGATGAATTACGTTATAAATGATCGAAAAGTATTTCAAAATTAGGTTGTTATTATAGTTTAAAGGACGAAATTGGTTGGAAAATAAACTTTTTTTTTAATTTAAATTAAATTTTAATTAGCTTCAATTGGATTCAAAATAAAAGGGGTTAAAGTAAGAAAGATTAGTTCAGTGAAGAGTTCCCTTAATAGGGAATTCACTTTCAAAGCTATACAATCTCAAATATACATACCTATAATTTTAAATGATAATAATAACAATAATAGGTATTATAAAATTCTGTTAAACATGTTAACAGTGAGGTAGAATGAACAAAGGTGTTAAAACGTTATTTTAATTATCAGGGCAACTAATAACAGTTTTATTGTTAACCGCCCAAATATTCATCATTAAGATAGATAGTGAAATTATAATTGAGAAAGAATGCGTTAGAACGATAAGATGAATTGTTGAATGTAATGTAATGAATGTAATCAAAAAGAACATAGAGATAGAAATAAACCAGTTTCGAGCAAAAGGTTTATTGAGAAGATAGAAGGGAAAGCAAATGGGTATGAAGAGAGGAAAGTACGAAGAAAGAAAACTGAGATATTAAGACCTTGGCAGAGGAAAAAGCTGCATCAATTTCTTATGCACACATAATCCTGGTTTCTTCAGATGCATAGCTCTTG